GGGCGCCTGGGTGGCTCAGTGAGTTATGCGTCTGACTCTTAACCTCAGCTCAGGTCACGATCTGATGGTTCGTGGGTTCCAGCCCTGAGCTGGGCTCTGGGCTGATGGCGTGGAGTCTGTTTGGGATGCTCTCTCAGCCAGTTCTCGTCCGACAAGTAAAAAGCAACCCCACTGAACTGCAGGCGGATCCTGAGGGGCACGAGCCATTTCTTAGCTCTCAGCCTCTGCTCGGTTTCGCCTCTGCCTCGAAATCCCCTTCCCCTCTTGTGCCCTGTTCATTCCTACCCGGTCTTTGAGACTCAGCTCAAATGGTCCCATTGAAAACATTTTAAGGGGCACCTGGGTGGCTCAGCCGGTTAAGTGTCTGACATCGGCTCAGGTCATGATCTCGCAGTTCGTGAGTTCGAGCCCCGTGTCAGTCTCTGAGCTGAGTTCAAGCCCCAGGTTGGGCTCTGTGCTGACAGCTTGGAGCCTGGAGCTTACTTCGGGTTCTGTGTCTCCGTCTCTCTGTCCCTCCCCTATTCATGCTCTGTATGTCTCTCTTTCTCTCAAAAGTAAACATTTAAAACAATAAAAAATTAAAAAAAATTAAATCTTGTGTTACAATACGATATTTAAGTTTAGCCCATTTAAAAGTAAAAGTATTTTTACTTATTCATCAGTGTATATGTACTTAGCACAGGGCTGGTATATTATTAGGATTAACAGTTACGTAGCTAGCTTTCATCTATCTATCTTGAGGGAATGAACGGAAGACTGGGTGTCCGTAACAGGCCTATGCATGGGCACAGGTGCCAATGAAGAAAATGGGCAAATGGAAGATCATTACCCCAAGATTCTTCAGTTGCATTACGTGTTTCTTAATCTTCTCCTTCCAACAAGGGGCACGGCCAGGCTGGCCCACAATGCAGCCAAAATACGAATACATATGTTGAACACAAGGCTCCTGTAAGTCTAGAAAATTCTGGAAACGCTGCAGTGTTTAGAAGGAGAGTGAAGGTGTTTTGGGGGAAATAAATAAGTCACTGTCACAAAGCTTTCATTAGAGGGAAGGAAGGGGAGAAGGAAAGTGAGGGAGAGGGGGAAAGAGAGGAAAGGGACGGAGGCGGGACAGAGTTTCCCAGAAAGCCCAGAAGGACTCAAGTGCATCCTTTAGAATCCCTGGGAGGCTTTTAAAAAGCTGACGCCTGGACTGCATCCCTCCAACTGCGATTCATTGGATCCAGGGTGTAAACCCACTGCCTGTTTCCAAAGCTCAACAGGTGATTCTCACGTGCAACCGGGGTTGACCACTCCTAAGTTACCGGTTCTACAATCCTCACCAAGTAGGGGAAGGACAATCCCCAAGGACAAAGGCAGCTTTCCACCCAGCAGTGCCTGAGGCTGCAAACTGCTCTCTATCCCTTGCACCCAGCCTCAGAGGGACCAAGTCTGTGCCTTTTGCCTTGTGTGGTGCCAATGGAAGCCCAACAGCCACGATCATTGTGGTACACGGAGGTACCACCCCTGGGGTGTGCACTGCGGTGGGCCAACAGCCCACCGCCTGGGTTTTAAAAACTTTCCGGCCAGACCATCTTTCTGATTCTTAGAAATCTCAAATCTTCTTCTGAAATGCATCACAAAATAATTAAAGCAGATGGGAGCTGGCATCTCTCTGGGTCTCCTAAGTGACAATGTGGGGGGATGAATCAGGAAACGAGTCTGTTGACTTGGAAGCTGGGGATAATTTCCATTGTTTTCATCATCTGGGGGTTTTATTTTCCAAGTTAACTTATGGCCTCTTTATGAGCCCGTAAGGCGGAGACCACGTGTGTTTTCTTCTCCTGACTTCCCCGTTCCAACTCCCCTCCCCTCCCTCTCCACCATAATACATGCAACGTCTGGAAAGTCCTGCCAAGAGAGCCCAGAAGGAAAATATGGTCCTATTAGCTAGGCCTAAACAGACCCAGAGCACAGAGAAAGAGGCAACCCGTTTATGCGGACATGAACTTCTCCAGGTTCTACACGCAGAGCTCAGCTTGGAGAGCCAGGAGGGGGAAGCTACCTCTCTGGCCTCCTTTGTTCTTGGGTCTTCACCAGTTCATCTTGGTTTTGGTCCTTCCTCCTCGTCCACACATCTCTCCCCACCAGCCTCCTGGATCTGTCTTGGAAGGAAAGTGGTACCGCCTTTGTTCTCTTAGAGGAGCCAGCACCGGCCTCTTGCATTCACAGAGGGGAGCTTCTGTGACGCGAGCACTCTCTTTGCCGATATGAACATGCGCTCCCACAGCACAGCTCGCACATTTTGCTTTAAAAAATATCTTTACATCTTCGCCTCCATTGAGGAGCTTCCTTCCCTTGGAAAAAAACAAACAAGAAAGAAAAGAAAGGGGAAAAAGGAAGGAAAGGAAGGAAAGACCCTATTCTGCTGTTGACAATTAAGCAACTCTTTTTAAAAAAATTTTTAATGTTTAATTTTGAGAGAGAGAGAAGGAGGCGGGGCAGAGAAAGAGGGAGACACAGAATCTGAAGCAGGCTCCAGGCTCCGAGCTGTCAGCACAGAGCCCGACACGGGGCTCGAACTCGCAGACCGTGAGATCATGACCTGAGCCGAAGTCGGGCGCCCAGCCGACTGAGCCACCCAGGCACCCCGACAATTAAGCAACTATTTTGTGTCTTAATGTACTATATACTTTACCAACAGTGACAACCAAGGTTATGCCAACCTGATGAGAGATATATAAACCCTACAAACCAAGGTGATGCCAATGTGAGGAGAGATGTATAAACCCTATGAACTAGAAAACAAACACAGGGATCGAAGAATGTCACCAAAGACACACATGGTGCTCGTGGTACTGTGGATGCAGAATGAGAGTGTGGCTGGGATGGCCTTGTGGGGATGGCTCACAGGAAAAGGATGCATGTCTAGGAACAAGGTATATCTTCTTAGTTTCTTATATGTCTCTTATATATACCGATTGCGACCATTTCCCCCATCTGTAGAATGCAGATATACCACTGTGTAAAGTGGTATCTATAAAGATGCTTGGCTCATGATGTCTTTGGTCTTTGGGGTTTAAACTCCAGCAAAGCAATGTGGCTTATATTTTATATGCGATATATGTATATACTCTACAGTGTTTAAAATATGGGTTTGTTTTTTTTTTTGCTATTAAAAAAAGAGCGGGAAATAAATGCACAGTCCTTAAAAGAAACCAAGCTTCAGACGGTGCATCTTTCGTAAGAAGTAAGGGCAAGCCTGTGATTCCATAAAGGAATCCAAGGGGCATCCCTAGGTGTGCAGGTGTAAGTGTAGACATTACCGGTTTGCCTAACAATTGGACCTATGGAAGCCTGTATCAGAAGGAAGAGTGGGTCCATCAAGACAATTAGGTGGACATCTCTTGTTCGTTCTAAGCAGCAAACAGTTGCTCTTCTTCTGGGAACAGCACCAGATTTTCTTCTGGAAGGCACCTCTCCCTCACACTCAGTCCTTGGGACTTGGGTGGTGTCTTATCTCTGCCCTCGACTCATGTGGTTCAGTCCCAGTCAATCAGAGTATCTTACTGCCCTGGTCTTGGCAATGATCCAGGGTTGGGCATCTGACCCAGTGAGGGTCAAGTCTAAGAGTTTTCCTCCAACAGCTGCAAAGGAGATGTGGGTATGGAGCTATGAGTTCCTAAATGTGCATTTGTTGTCTATGGGCTCAGGAGTAGAAATCCTGGAAGAGCTAGGAGTTTAACACAGGTTATGAAAAAGACGAATATGGAAGTTGAAGCTTCTTCTTTGAACAAAAGCCCGTTTGTAAACACTGAACAGTTTTTGTTGAGATGTGGCATGAAGGTTTCACCACTCTATTTGTAACAGACACTCCCAAGGCTCGTGCACCTGCCCTTCTAGCTGCAGTCCCGAACACTCTCCATGACTTTAAAAATGGCTTCCCCTCTAGTGCGAAGTGCGCAACGTCTAAAATGCTCCTTTTCCCATCACAAATTTTAGTTTCTTCCAAGCCCATAACTTGCCTGCTGGAACTTCAGTGAACGCATGGAAAGAGGAATTCACCATTTTAAAGA